GCCCTTTTAAAATAAAATAAAATTCAACTGAGCAAAATTTTTAAATCATAGTGTGTTTATTTAAATATTTATGAATCAGGCAGCATCCAATTTAGCAGTTAGAAATGCTAGGTAGTTAGAACAGGAAACAGGAGGGCAAAATGGCAGTGGCTAAAAGAAAAGAAAGGGAAAAGCCCATGAAAACAGAACAAAGGAAGGTCAGAGGGAGGCCTGAGGACCTGAATGAGGACTTCAGGTAGAACAAACAGCACTCCTAGCTAGCCCAACTTACATAGGGCAGGCCCAGGAGGAGGAAAAACGCATATAAAAAGAGGAGCCAAATCCGCGCCCTCTCTCTCTCTCTCTCTCTCTCTCCTGCACGCTGTGTGCTCCCCCACTCTCTTCTCTTCGCCTCTTTGGGTTGGCATGCCCTCACTCCTCAAGGATGGATTCTCTTGCTATTTTCTAAATAAAATAGAACTGTGACACTGATTTGTCTAAGAGCTATAACACGGTCTGTCCAAGACCCGAGAGCTGTGACGCGCTGAGGGCTTTAATATCTGTCACTCCAAATCTTTGTTGTGACGAGACAGAACTGAGGAGTATACACTCGCCTGACAGAAAGAAACTCTGAGGACTTGCACAAAATAAAAGACTTTTACAGCCATAAGGGATCAGAGACAAGCAAGCTGTACTGGGCAAAGAATCCAAGTGGTCACTGCAAGGTCACTTTCCATTAGGGGCTGGCAGGGGTATCTCAGGCAGATACTTAACTAGTGATAATCAGAAGATTCCTGGCTGACTGGTTCAAGATTTCATTTCTGGAGGAGCCGAAACTGCGTTTACATCTAATTTGCTAGTATGGTTCTTAACTAAGCAACTCCTTTGGGGGCTGTTGTCTTGTTTTTAAGTCCTCTGGGGGCAGGAACAAGGCTTACCATTGCTAGTTCCTTGCGCTAAGCACAGTGACTGGTGTATTCATTCCCGAATGCTGAGAGCACATGTGCTCTGTGCCAGGCCCGTGCTGGGGGCAGGGATCCAACCATGACACCTCACAGTCCTTGACATTCAAGAGAATAAGACAGAAAACCACCACACTTTAAAAAGAAACGATCCTGCTGCTCCCACAGAGCTGATGCTGTGGAGGGAGAAAGGGAATAAACAGAACAGCTTGTAGAAGAGTCAGCTCCATGGAGTGAAGGGCAGGACACAGGACAGTGGGATGGGAGGGTGGTGGGGTGGGGGGGGCGGCGAGGAGAGGAGTCTGCAGGCCGGGACCGAGGGCCGCTCCTCCAGGTGACGGGCCACAGCAGGTGCTGACAGGGCCGGCCCTGGTGCCGTGAAGGACCAAGGTGGTAAGGGCAGGAGACATGGGGGAGCTGTCACTGCACATGCAACGTGTCTCTGAGGAGGTGACATTTAAGCTTTGGTTCAGGCCACGGTCCCCCTTCCCTTGTCACCAGAGTCAGACACCGAGGATGGCAGCTAGCACCACACGCACTAGTCAGTCCTGACATGCGCACCAGCTCACTGTTGCCTCCTGAGGAGTCACAGTAAAGGCCCCTGTACTGAATTCCCATCCCTCCCTCTCCGGAGAAGTCGGGTCCTTTCCTGTGTAGCCCAATGGCATGGCCTATCCCTCCTCTTGGGAGCTGTAAGCCATTAAATCTCTTTTCAATGACAGTTGTCTCCTGATCTGTTTGCCTTATTATGTCACAAATTTCCTACTAATACACTCTATTTTAAAATGTTAACCATAACCCTATATACAAAACAGAAAAAGAGACTCAGATGTATAGAACAGACTTGAGGACTCTGTGGGAGAAGGCGAGGGTGGGATATTTCAAGAGAACAGCATCGAAACATGTATATTATCTAGGGTGAAACAGATCACCAGCCCAGGTTGGATGCATGAGACAAGCACTCAGGCCTGGCGCACTGGGAAGACCCAGAGGGATCGGGTGGAGAGGGAGTGGGAGGGGGGACCAGGATGGGGAATACATGTAAATCCATGGCTAATTCATTTCAATGTATGACAAAAACCACTGCAATGTTGTAAAGTAATTAGCCTCCAACTAATAAAAATAAATGGAAAAAAAAAAAACTCTGTTGCTATAAGAAAAAAAATAATAATAAAATAGCCAAGAGTCACAGCAGACTGTTGACAATTACATGTGGACAAGTGGAGAACGAAGGAGTATGACTTGCTGCAATGTCCTCGGTCAGTTTACTATTTGATTGAGTGTTAAGTGTGTTTTGTGTTTTCCTGACTGGTTAGGATCCTCTGAATCAGCTGTGCTTTCATCCACCAGCTGATTGTGCTTACAAAGTTACTTGCAAGCACAACTGAAATTCAGAATATGTTCAAATTGTTCCCTATATGGCAGGCATCTTAGAGCAAAACTTATTGCAGCACTGATAAGGCGTTCATGTCTTTCCCCAAGTTGGCTAAGAACGAGCATAGTAGTAGGGATGTAATGTTAGTCCCTCTGCTGTGTTCAGCTCTTTGGGACCCCTCCTTTGAGAGAAGCCTGGCAGGCTACAGACCCTGGGGTCCCAAAGAGTTGGACATAACTCTTTGAGAGACTATATATTCTTTCAGATTCTTTCCCATTATAGATCATTGCAAGATATTGAGTATAGTTCCCTGCACTATATAGTAGGTCTTTGTTGTCCACCTAGTTTATACACAGTACTATGTGCATATTTATCCCAAACTCCTAATTTACCTTTCCTCACATCCCCTGTGAGCCTCTTTGTTAACCATAAGCTTGTTTTCTATGTCTGTGACTCTACTTCTGTCTTGTAAATAAGTTCATCTGTATCATTTTTCAATATTCCACATATGTGATATCATATGATGTTTGTCTTTTTCTATCTGACTTACTTCGCTTAATATGAAATCACCATGTTTATCCAGGTTGCTCTGAACAGCATTATTTCATTCACTTTTATGGCTGAGTAGTTTTCCATTGTACGTATATTCCACATCTTCTGGAGCAAGCACTTCTTAGAATATACAACTTGACTTACTTTCAAAGAACAAAAATTGTGAGTAAACCTAAGTTTTTTAGAGATGGAGAATTTCTCTGCAAATGTTCATATATCATTTATTAGTATTTAATAGGTTAGGATTTTGAGGGCAAGAATAGTAGGTGAAATTGGTGTGTGCTTTTGTTTTAGGTCACTTATGTCAAGTTGTGACAGCACGGTTAAATTATATTCACAAAATATAGATTTCTTCTGTTCTTCTATTCTTGATTCTCTAAAACTATGTGGTACTTTTGTAGCCAGTTGTTATTTGCTTGCATAGCTTTTACATGATTTTCAGAAGTAATTCTCAAAAATTTTTATTTGAAAGCCTTCCTTGCTTATTTTTCTTTTGCTTTAGTTGCTTTAAATAATGGTCCTGACAATTCATATTTTTACAAAAAGTAGTCAATTTCTTGAATATTCTAAAATATTTGAAGTGTATATAAAGGGGTTTACATTCATTTTTTATGGGTGGGTATGAGATAATATGAAATATACATCAGACCTGCTGTCTGACACAGGACCCCTAACTGTCTTAAAGTTTCCTGGGTGATAGAAATGCTTTTGTTTTGTTTTATTTATATGTTTTCTGAAAGTGTTAATTTATTTTTTTCCTGGTAGGCAATTGTTACTTGCATAACAAACACTTTTCAGGATTATTGCTAAGGTTTGTTAGTACAAGTCTATGTGCCCTTTATTTTAAGGCTGTGATCAGTTTCATATCTCTTTCTCTCTCTCCGTCTTTCTTTCTTTCTTTTTTTTTTTTTTTTTAGTTTCAGCTCTAATATATGCATTTTTTTGCCTTGGTTGAATGCCCAACATATTCAAGGAGGTTTCTTCACTCTGGCTGGTAAGGATTCTCAGTCCCACATGAATGTTGGACATTATTCAATGCATTAGAAATTTATACATTTTCCTGCAGTGGAATAACATAGGCTAAGGTTATGCATTACATTGTTTTTGTGATGTCAAGATGTAATTGAATATTAGTGTTTATTCCAATGTGGACCAGTAAAGTGTGTTATAGTACCTCATCCATTCAGTGGACTGATTTGCATAAAATAGTGTCCCAATAGAGAGTTTTCCCCAAGATATTTTCAGCTGAATATAAACAAGATATAATAAAAACATTGTGCACAGTATACTATCATTTATGGTTTTAAATGTGGTTGTGTGCTAAGTCATTCAGTCATGTCTGACACTTTGTGACTCTGTGGACTGTAGGCCACCAGGCTCCTCTGCCCCATGGGGATTCTCCAGGCAAGAATACTAGAGTAGAAAGCCATTTCCTTCACCAGAGGATCTTCCAGACCCAGGGATTGAACCCGAGTCTCTTCTGTCTCCTGCATTGGCAGGTGGGTCCTTTACCACTAGCACCACCATGTAGAATGAAGAAGAAACAGATATTCATAGTTGCTTGTGTCTGCATAAATGACATTCTGGGACATCTCTCCTGGTCCAGTGGCTAAGACTCTGCAATCTCATTGTAGGGGCTTGAGTTCAATCCCTTGTCAGGAAACTAGGCCCCACATGCCACAGCTAAGAGTTCCCATGGAAAAGGTCCTACAGGCCACAACTAAGACCTGGCACAGCCAAATAAATAATTTTTGAAAAATTCAAAACTCTGGAAAGATTCCTGGGAAATGAAACACCATGGCTGACCGTTAAAGCAGCAGAGTTTTTACAAGAAGGGAGGGGGTAGGAGGAAAAACATAAAATAAAATATGTTATATTTTCAGGTTCTTGAACCTTGTACATGTATTATAAATTTCTCATAAATGTCAAAACATTATAAAAAAAGTTAAACCTCTAAAGGGTAAAGCTCATAGTGTTATTTCTACCAACTGAATGAAAGTCAAGTTTGTTTTATCAGAAAGATTATTTGGATTCTCTAAAACATCTTCTCAGGCTTTTTCCACACTACCCAGACAGTGGTCTATTTGGCACTGTCTGGATTCTTGTCATAACTTGAAGTGAATCTTTTACAGTATTCTGGGTCCTTGATGTCCGGCAAATGAAGGGGGACATCATCACGTTCCTGGCAGCAGGAGCCCACTTAGGTGGCACCAACCTTTACTTCCCAGTGGAGCAGTACATCTACAGAAGGAAAAGTGAGGGCGTCTACATTAGGAATCCGAAGAGAACCTGGGAGAAACTTCTGTCGACAGCTCATGCCATTGTTGCCATTGAAAACCCAGCTTCTGTCACCGTTGCGTCCTCCAGGAACCCTCGCCAGCGAGCTGTGCTGCAGTTTGCTGCCGCCGCTCCTGTGGTCGCCCGCTTCACTCCTGGAGCCTCCACTAAGCAGACCCAGGCAGCTTCCAGGAGCCAAGACTCCTGTGAACTTCTTACCATCGGTCTGTGTGACACAGACTCTCCTCTGCATTCTGCAGACGACCCATTCCCGGCACAAAGGGAGCTCAGTCGGTGGGTCTGATGGCGGATGCTCACCCGGGCACTTCTGCCCGTGCACGGCACCGTTTCCTGTGAACACTCTTGGGAGGTCGTGTCTGATCGCCACGTCTGCACATTCTGAAGAGATGAAAAGGGAAAGGCAGGTGGCAGTGAGCAGGCTCTGACCAAGGAGGACGTCACAGTGAATGGGTGACGTCAGCACCTGAGTGCAACGCTGCTCCATCTGAGGTGGTGGCCTAGTCCACAGGCGGGCAGGCGAGCTTGCTGCCCACTCCGCGGTGCCCCCGAGGGCTGGGCTGCAGCGCCCACTGCTCAGGCCACGGGGTGGGGAGGGACAACACGGAGTGGGCTTCGGCTGTTCTTGCACAGGCTCTTTTCTTGGGTGGGGCTGTGCTGGGTCCTTGCTGCTGCACGGGCTTTGCTCTGGCTGCGGTGAGCGGGGCGCGCACTCTGGTTGCGGTGCACGGCCTTCTCCTCGCAGCGGCTTCTCCTGTCATGGGCTGCAGTAGTGGCAGAGCGTGGGCTCAGCAGCTGTGGACCCCAGGCTGTGGAGCACAGGCTCAATGATGGTGGTGCAAGGGCTTAGCTCCTCTGATGCACGTGGGATCTTCCTGGACCAGGGATTGAACTCATGCCCCTGCATTGGCAACCTTCTTTACCATGAGCCATCATGGAAACCCCACAAACTCTTAAAATGGAAGTAGGTTGACAGAAAATAAACAGTTATAAATAAATAAATATGTCTACTCATGAGAATGTTCTGTGACTTTTGATTTTTTCCTTTCACATAAGAGGAAAATTTCCTAATCCATAATTCATTATGTTCTTCCCTCAAACAACATTTACCACTGCTAATTTTATTAGCTAAGCTCGATCTAATTTATAAAATACTTTTCTCCCACTTTCCCCTATGCACTGTACATTCATTATGAACTGAGATGATGTTTTATCATTGCTCAGTCACTCAGTCATGTCCAACTCTTCCTGACCCCATGGACTGCAACACACCAGGCTTCCCTGTACTTCACCATCGCCCAGAGACTATATTTAAAAACTTCATATGGATAGGATAATCATTTGACTTCATACTTGAATTATTTCTCTGAATCTGATGTGTTAATATGCTAGTAAGATATAAAACACTTGACTGACTTCAGCACAATAAAAAATATTAGAATCAGGTGACCATATCTTAAGCCTGATTATAAAACCAGCAGCCATGATGATGAGGAACAGTGACACATGGGGGGACATTTTATGTGCTGAGAGAGAGGTGTGCAGTTCTCGGGGATTTAAAGGTCTGTTTGACAACAGAGTAAAACTAGGCTCAGTGGTTGGACCTCATGGGAGTCACCTCCCCAGGACACATTGGACGGAGTCCTGAGCATCTTGAGTGCCCCGCAAGGTGGTCTGAAGCGGTGGCCAGGGCACCCCTCTGTGTATCAGTGGAGATGGTAGTTGTATTGTGTGTCTGTACAAGTCTGTATAAGGTGATCTGGCATGCAGAAAATTAAATTTGACTAAATGGCAGATGACCTCAGCTCTAATAATATCTTTTCTTGAATCAATTTGTTTCTCCTCTCAGCTTCTCCAGCCCAAAGGAGTTACTCTTCATGAGACCCATTTTCTTTTAATTCCATTCTTCAAAGCCTCAAATTTTGTAGCTTTTTTTCAGTATCTGTCCATGTTTATTCCTCAGAAAAGATAAGCAAGAGTAAAATTTTCTCATTGGGCTTTAAAGATAAACAAATACCTTTAAAATTAGACTTTCTATAAGTTCTAAATTCATTCATGTTCTCACATTAGGATGTTCAATGCTAAGTCTGTAATGAGCATTTTTACTTAATTCAAACACAACTCTGGAGAGTGAATTGCTGGTGGGACTTCACAGACCACTGAAATTTTCGACTCTTGACAGTTAAATCTCCTTTTACAGAAATGATAGCAGCCAATAGAACAAGGAGCATATAGTGCCAGATTACAGGGCTGACATCAAGGAAAAGACAGTTTATTGATGACAGAAAAGATCTGCCTTCTGACAAGCAGTCGCCTCTCACGGTGAGGCAACCGGAAGTGCCTGCAGAAGCAGAGACCGCGCGCGCAGAGAGCAGGACGCTTCACCCATGTCCGTTATCAGCACAGCCGGAAATGGGTCGTTCCTGGACCTGACTCGTGCTTCCTGTCTCTTTAGCTCCCTCGTGCTTCCGGGCCGGTCATCTGAGTTGGACTACGCTTTGCTTTTCCTAGATCTCCTTGGGGCCTTCTCACAACTCCCGGCAGCAGGCAGGAAGCAGCTGTCCCCTGGGCAGGGCTGCGCCTGTAACTCGTCTGGCAGCCGTGCGCCTGGGACAGCATTCTGAGCGTCCACTGTGCCTCTCAGGGGTATGGCTTTGATGGGACCAGAGGTCGGAATGAGCACGATGGAAGGGCTGCCTTTGTTTTCTTTCACTCCTGGGCCAGGAGCTCTTAACCTGAGAGATTTGGAGAGGCCAGGGAGCCTGTGTCTGCCCTGAAGTGATGCATAAAATGCGTCGGTGCACAAGCTTTTGTTCAGATAAGATTAAATGCCCTGGATTCACCCCTTCAGAATATTTTATCATTGTTACTAGTCTATCCAGATCCTGTGCATTGGAGCAGAACACTGCTGCAGTGATTTCATCACACTTCCATTGTTACCAGGCCCTAGTAAACCCACCTTTCAGAATCAAGAGAATCTGGTGGCTGACAAGGCTTAAAACATCCTATGAAGTGCCTAGAAGCAACAGCATTTGATTGTACTTGACTGGAACATTTTAAGGTCTAGTAGTTTGCTTTTTACTTGTGAGCAGCTGGGTCAAATTGTTCCAAACAAGAAAAAACAAGCTCTATAAAGTCTATGTGTCTGACCAGGGTTACAGGACACAAACTAGTTTAGGACAGGGCCTAGGTTGACCTGAGATTCTGTCTTCACCAGAAATTAAAGTACTAAAGAGCATTTGAGACTCAAACACCAAAAGCATTTTATTACTGGATAATTTGGGTTGGGAAGATTCCCCAGACACCCAGGTCCAGCCCCGGCAGGACCAGGAATACCCAAGGGATGAGTGGCATCAGCGAGGAAGAAGACAGACACACACAGAAGGTTGAGTAGAAGAGGTAGCTTTTTTTTATTTTTAGGAGAGCTCAGTTTGTATAGAATGAACGTTACCTGCCCCTTAAGTCACCACGTATTACATCCAATACCGTTTCGTGCATCTGTCAATATTTTTCTTTCCCATGTTTTTCCCCAATGCATTTATCTAGAACATTCCCGACTACAGGGTTTATTTTTAAATGTCCCGCACATAGTCTTCTTGCCACAATGGCCTAACATTTTCACTCTAACAAAAACAATGTCCTACAAATCTCAGGTACAGTATAAATTCTTTGGACAATAAAAAAATACATGGGAAGGGTCACAGTAACATGTTTGACATTTCTGAGAATAGTATCATGAGAAAAACCTGATATTTTTCTTTACCCCAAACCACAAAATCTCAGTTTACAATGATTAACTATTAAACAGCAAAAACACCTCTATTAATAGTGAGATAATGGCAGTGAAGCTGGTTAATATAAAGCTTCTATTGAAATGTATGTACCCCATTTCCTAACTCTGCAAAAATACCCATAATCTCATGCTGTTTAAAGAAAGGGAAACAATGAACAAATAGCAGCAAGGAAATAACAATAATGAAAACCCTCTCAACCAAGGAGCAAGTAAACTGATGCAGTACATCTACTTCTAAATCTAAATGCCTTTACTCTTTTCGTTTATAGAACATTATAATCTTTTCAGCAAGCAGCCAAACTATACCTGTGACCTTTTCTTTGCTGACTTGATGTTTATGGTCGTGTCCTGAGCCAGAGCAATCATGAGCATTTCCAAAAAAGGCTTGGACTTTTCCAGGGAGGCCTTATTACTATATATTATATTTCCAAAATTTATTAGAAAGCCCAATAACAGTAAGACAGAAGGAAGAAAGGGACATACCGTGCACCCGGGAGAACCTCGAGGGGAAGAGCTGCTTGCAGATTCCTTTCTCATCCCGGCGGCTCCTGAGGGGACATATTGGGCCCCCGGGGCAGCCCCGTGTGGGAAAGAGCTGCCTTACATGTTCCTCTCTCATCCCGTGACCTTGTCACGGTTTGGGCACACCCCTAGCTCCTGACACCTAGAGGAGCGAATAGCAACTCACTCCAGCATTCCTGCCTGGAGAATTCCAGGGGCAGGGGAGCCTGGCGGGATTACAGTCCAAGGGGTCACAAAGAGTCGGACATGACTGAGTGACTTTCACTTTCTTCTTGCAGTTTGGATCTACAGAGAGGTAAAGTCTTTTCCGGGGTTATCTGTAACTGCTTCCTACAGATTCAGTTAAATGGCTTTGTGTTCTGACACTGCTCCCAAGACACTGATCTGGGCTTCCTACACTTACGAACGGAATTACTTTGTTTTCTGTGCAGTGGTGGTAAAACAGTTAGAAAGCAAGCAAACAAGCCAAAGCCGGTGAATGTTTTTCAGACAGGCGGAAAGTGCCCTCTGCTGTCCGCTCCGTAGAAATGCCCAAGGAATGTAGTCTGAGCCTTATGGACTGAGAGCCAGAGGAGCTCGGATTCTAAGGTCAGTTAGACTCCCATCGAACTACACTTTCTACTTATATGTTATTTATAACAAGATATGTCATTATATTTATGCTCTCTCCTGAGCATTCTCAATATTTGCTTACAGAAAGTAAGATGTTGAAAATCATTGAACTGCGGCAGTTGTAAGAAACAGTATCAGGCTATCATATGCTTTCCACAGGTCCAGATTATCCAACACCAAAATGCCTTTAGAATTCTGGAGCAAAAATGCTCTTTGCCACTTTAACTCCTAGTAAGGACTGAGGCCCAGAGCTCCCTGAGTAGCAGCTTCTGCTGGGGACCCCACTGTATTTATTTTGCATGTGTTTAAGAGATGACAGAAAAAGAGGAAGCTCTAAAATGGCAAAAGCTTTAAGGTACACCAAAACGGTGGTTTTAAATGTTGGTTTGAATGTTTTCTTTTTAATGAAATAATCCATTGTAGGACAGGCCAAAATAAGTTTTGAGAATAAAGTGTACATATTCTTCCCCTCAGAGATATTGGCAGCCAAATTAGTTAAGACATGTTTTTACTATGGGCCTGGCATAAATTCTGACTTGCCTTGGACAGGTTACTGATTTCCAGACTGACTTAAACCCAGCAAGTGTTCAAGGAATGTTCTAGTGACAGGAGGAGACAGCAATGTGCAGCCTGCATTTCATTGATTGTGCTGCTCGTGTGCTCATTCTGTCTTTAACCCTTCAGCAAATATTCAGTCTCTTCCACATAGCTTATCATTTGTTTGATTCTGAAATACATTGGTTCGGTTTTTATGATAAGTTAGTTCTGTACAATCATATGTAAAATGTTTATTTAATACAAACAATATACACTCTTGTTCAAGTTCATCCTGAACTAAAAGTACACACACAAAAAACCTGGATAATTTAGAGTAAAAGTAAAATTTCTCTTTTATCCCTATCAAGGTACCTGTGGTTCATTTGTATATATTCTTCCAGCTTTTTAAAAAACATTTTGATATATATATATATATATATATATATATATACACACAGATAATATAGTATCATTTTTTAGTTCAGTTAGACAAATAGTGTGTGTTGTTTTACAACTTGCTTTCGTCATGTAACAGTATGACTTTCAAGTGTCACCATTTCCTGTTTGGGGGAATATGAAAATCTATGTTTAGAACAATATGATTCTACTCTAAGCAAACTAGGTTCATCTAGCATCCACATTCAGGGAAATGCAGACATGTCTTTAGTTGCCCTGCACATCTCACCATCTGGAAGGGAGGAATCCGAGAGCAAGGAAAGCCTCAGTAATAAACACCAGGCACCCCATTAACCCAGCCCTCAAGGAGGAGGGCGGGGCAAGGGCAGCTCACTGGCTGGAGGGAGGTCTTGTGATGCCTGAGTCTCCAGGCTGGCTGGTAGCAGCCCAGAGAATCAGGAAGGGAAGGAAAGAGAGGCGGTAGGAGGAGAACAGTGGAGGGCAGTGAACGGGCCTGCTGGCAACAAAGGACAGAGGTTGCAGCAGAAACTGGGGAGGATGCGAGGGTCCACGGGAGGAGCCGGAGGAGAGACACCTGGAGGAGGCTTCCTCCTGCTCACCCTCCCCAGAAGGTGCCGATGGGCCGGGTGAGGGCTCACATCCGCTTCCCTCACGAAGACTGTGCAGTTCAGGTTGGTCGCGGGAACACACTTCTTTCACTTGAGTGATCACTTGTGTCTCCCTGTCATTTCAGGTTGGGTCTTTTCTGCCTGCCTCCCCTCACTTTCACTCTGGCCTCAGTCTTCGTTGTTTTCTGGCAAACAAAATATGGTCAGGAGGAAGCGCTGACCACGCGAAAGGCAAAGGCCTGCCTCTGGGGAGTAAGATATACTCGCACTGCTGTGCTAGTTTATTTATACTTATTAATTTAATTAATTTTAACATAGTGCTGTATAAACACGTATATATAATGCAAGCAAATATTAAATGTGATGTACTATTATTATTTTATTACAATAATATCTATAAACCAATAATATATGTTAATATTAATAATATATAGGCTGATTTAGTTAACGACACCCCTGGTGAGAAGACTAATGAAGACTAAAGAAATCAGAAAAAAATCAGAAATCTGAAGATCTTTGAGAACTCCGTGCTCACGATGTAAATGGCGAGACGTGCATGAAGGTTCTTAGCCAGGGGTCCTCACAGGCTTTTCCAGGCCCCTGTTACGGGTCAGCAGTGAACCGTGGGGTGAGTGTCCGGGCAAAGCCCCCAGGCTGAGGCCAGGCCGGGCCTGCCGCCAGTCTCCTTCCTTCCGTCACCGCGCGTCACCTCCTCACTTACACCAGTGTAAGCGAGTGTTATCACTTCTCCTACAGAATGAAGCTGTGTGTTGCAGGAGAGCTGGAGCAAACTCACTGGTGACATAAATCTTAAAACTACAGCGAGAGGGAGATGGAGGGAGGGAGACACATAAACAGATATCATGTGCCCTGGCTTTAGTCTATAGTGAAAATTTTATGAAAACAGAAAATGATATTAAAACCGGTTAGCCTTTACCTTGTATTTTTATCGGTGCCTGTATTAAACAATTGATCAGTCATCTAAATATCATAGATTCTAAATCATAAACTAAGATTTTAAAACACTGTAGTTTTCTGTGTTACCAAAATGTACTTTTGCAGCCAATGTCCAAATCATCCAGTGTATTCTTTTCCTGAGTGTTTGGTCACGTGTTGTTTTCTTTTTAACTTTTGTTTTGTATTTGAGGTATAGCCCTTTAGCAAACAGTGCTGTGATAGTTTCAAGTGAACACCAAAGGGAACAATTCAGCCATTCACATTCATGTGTCCTTTCTCCCCCAAACTCCCCTCCCATTGAGGCTGCTACATAGCGTGGAGATCCATGTGCCAAACAGTGAGTCCTTGCTGATTATTAACCAAAGCGGCCATCTGCTGCATCATCAGAGACCCTGTCAGAATGTTTACCAGAGGTTAGAGACGAGTTTCCTGGAAAACACTCAGCCCACCCCCTGCTGCCAGATGAAGGCTGTTTATATACGGGTGCTAGTTTTGAGAGCTTGGTGAGCTGGACCAGCTCCTACAGAGATGGAAAGGGCTTGTCACCATCAACATTCCCCAGTAGGTTCAGCCTGCCCCGAATGCGCCCTGAGTCCTGACTGCTGAGCAGGCCAAGCCCCGTCCGCCCTCCGCCCCCAGCGCCTCCTCCCCCAGGGTCGCGGGAGACAAAAGGACTGCCCGCTCTTCCCTCCTACCCCCCCACTCCCGGGCGTGGACGAGCCCAGGGCCCTGCTCTGGTTGAAGGAGGAAGAAGGCCCAACAGCGGCCCCAGAAGCGCAGAGGGGCCCCTCCATTCCCAGGACTGGGGCTCATCCTGCAGGGCCGAGGGGACACGGGGGCGGGAGGAGCCTCAGCGCCGGACACTGTGGGAGCTTGTCTGCTGAACAGACTCAGGGACTGTCTGCCGGCTGTAGGATCTGGGGAACGGGAGAGATTTGGATGGACTGGGGCTAGATGGGAGGGTTTCTCATGTCTAAAGCACTGGCTGTGTCTCTCTGGGCTGAAAATATTAACCTCTGAGCACTAGATCCCACCAAAAGCAGAGTACTGGTTAGAGGTGTCCTGAGACATGAGAGTTTCTCAGGGAGATGAGAGGAGATGCTAAGAGGATGTGAAATGCCTCGTAGAGACTGAAGCACACACCCAGCATTCTGACCCCAGTTTTGGGAGGTGGCAGTTTTTATGCATGTCTCTGCTAGCTCAGATGGTAAAGAATACGCCTGTAATGGAGGAGACCTGGGTTTGATCTCTGAGTCGAGAGGATCCCCTGGAGAAGGAAATGACAACCCACTCCAGTATCCTTGCCTGGAGAATGCCATGGAGAGAGGAGCCTGGTGGGGTCCATGGGGCCACAAAGCTTCAAACATGACTGAGAGACTCACCCCTTTCAGTGAGGCAGCTGGTGTCCTCGGGCCTGATCAGGGAGGAGCACGGCTGACTGTTGCTTCTGATGAGCCCTGACCAAGAGAAGAGCGCAGACAGGGGCCCCCGGGGAGTCAAGACACAGGCTGCTTAGTCAGCAGGACTGTGAAGGGTGGAGTGGGCACCCCACGGGGCCTCTCCCGACTGCCCCCGTGTGCCCTGCAGTTCCGAGCTTTGGCCTGAATGCGTCATAGACAAGGACCCTTCATAGCCTACCTATTATGAGGTAACAGCTAAAGGAATGTTGCCTATATGCTTATACATAAAGTTCCATCTCTGGGAACCCTGCATCCCAGGTAATGAGCACCAAGCTAAAATAACTTTGTTCAGTTCACAGGAAACCTCCTGAGCAGACTCTCCTGTGAGTCACAGCAGGGAGGCAGAAATGAACACATCCCCTCTGGAGGCTGATTGGAATGAAGAAATTTTTGACTCTTCTCCCCCTCCCCCCCCCCACCCCTTTTAGTATAAATATGAAAGAAGCCTGAATTCTAACTCAGGTAAGATGGGTCCTTGGGGCAAGAGTCCTGGGTTTCTGAATAAA